GAAAACAGGCAAATCCTTTTTTTATCACAGCGAGGAAGAGGACAGACAGAATCCATTCATTGTGTGTGAGGCCCTAATCACAGCCCCAGACAGACACCCTGAGAAGTCTGAGACACACACACTCCTTTGCAGCCTTCCATTCCACTGGCATCTTAATCACCTGCTGGAATTTGTGCCCACAGAGCCCACTGCAGGCAGCAGGAGCAGCAGAGCATCAGACCTTCTCCACCATCTCCATCTGCCACCACTTTTTCCTTGCTCTTGGTATGTAGGGCCCTAAAGGATCTCAAAATCCCAGTCTGGAGCCATATCCATAGTTGGAAAATCTTACCCTGAATAACTTACAAATGGAGCATGGAAAAACAGGCAAAGGAGACAGGAAAAGGTCTGTGTAAAGATGAGCTGGGGCATAGCTAAGGTGATACAGTGCTGCAACCACTAGAGTATTTCTGCATGGTGTTCTGCACCTCCAGGTACAGGATCCACCCCAGGTACAGGATCCACCCCAGGCACAGGATCCACCTCCAGGTACAGCATCCCCTTCCCACCTCCCACACTGGGCAGGAACCTGCACTGCATTTCATGACTTCTATTCCACAGTATAAAATTTAACAGAGCACTGAAAACCTCCAAATGAAATGGTGGTTTTAAACCCTGGTGTGTAAGAGCAGGGGATCCTAAACCAAGGGGTTTGATGCACACTGCCTACCCCAGCCTGAAAGATTCCATCCAAAGCTGCTGCTATTTTTAGAGCTTGACAAATAGCAGGCAAAAGGATTCACTAGCATTTGCCCAGAACCACCTTTCCACTCTGTCACCTCTGCACTCCCTTTTGTTTGCTTATGCAGGAACATTCTCTCGAGGGGATTCTTGGCTCACAAGCCCATTTCAGAAAGGCTCTCCAGGCACAGCACACACTCAGCCTCACCCAAGGGCTTCTCTGCACAATCAAGTCTTTGTCACTGCTAATGGAAGGCACTGCCCTGGCCTGATGCTGGAATGATGGAGTCAGGGAACACACAGCTGAGCAGAGCTAGTGCTGCAACAAACAACAGGTCAACAGCCTGGGCAGGGAAATAGTTCCCTGACAAGGCACTAACATGGACTCACACAGATCAAGGTTGATACAGAGTCTGGTAAGGGGATGTGGCAATTCAGGCAAACCCTCTGATATGAGTTGTTTGTCCAGATTAGGACTTTCAAAATCCCAGTCTAGCAGATATAAAATATTTCATTCACTCACAGAATGTTGCAGCAGCACAGGACCAGAAATGACTGACGTGTGTGCACTTAACTCCTCTGTATCCCCCTCAAAAAAGGGCATGTCCTAGTGAGGGGTAGCACAGTTCTAGGCCCAGGTTTCTTAGGCTCAACTGGAGAGTTTTTTGGATGAGTTTACTTCCTCTCTTAGTGCCCAAATTTTCCTGTCTATGAAGGGACAGGGACTCAGGCCAAGTGGAAGACTCGAATTCAAGATCCTCAGGCCCTACAATAAACCCACACATTGCAGCCAAACGTGCTGTAATATTGAAGCTTTGCTAAAAAGGAAGCATCAAGGAGACAGATGAAACTTAGTATGGAATACTGTGCTCTCCAGGATCTCAAAGTCCCTCATGAAAGCAAATCTGAGCACTGCTGCCCCAATTTCAGAGCAGGAGAAAGAAGAACAGAGGGTGAGGGATCAGCCTGGGGTGACACTGAGTCTCTCAGTGGAAGAACCAACTATTTAAAGACACCCATTTGGCCTGCTCTGAAAAGCTGCTGGAGCTTAACTCCATGTTAATCTTAACCACTATGTCTTTTTTTCTTGTATTGATATTTTCCCTGCAGAGTCAGTGCAACTTTTATTTAAAGAAGCAACAAAAAAAAAAGGCACCTAAGGTGTAAGAGGCAATTGGCTGGGCGAGGTGGCTGCTCTCCCAGGAATGCTGAAGGCACAGATTGCACACAGTGAGAGACTTCCCATTATTCCTGGAGGTTTATGAGTCTGCCTCAGTTGTGTGATGTTGTCAGTAGTTTTGACTGAATCATGAATATATCCAATTATGTGTGATGCTGACAGAAAAGAATATTGATAGTCAATAATTATAGGCTTTTCAGGCCAACAAAGTAGCTCTTCCCTCTTTCAATAAATTATCTTATGACATCTATCTTAAAAATTGCTATGCCAGGCCTGACCCAGCCTGACTCCACTGACTTTCCATCAGATGCCATCTAAACTCAGGATTTATAGTTTACTCACAAAAGGATGGTTAATGTTGCAGATTTCACAGGAAGCACAGCAGCTTTCCTGCCACAGACACCTCCTCCACTACAAATCATGCAGTCATGCTAAACTCAGGGAGACTAATAGATCTGCTCTGCAAAGGGGGGAAGAACCCTCTGCTCTCCAGATTGTTTCCCCTTCCACGTGGAAGATTCTTCCACTGCCAGCACAAGCATGTTCAACCTGAATTAGTGATCCAAGGGTCAGGATGTGAAGCTCTGAAGCTAAAAAAAGCTGTGCTGGGACTTAGCAATAGAGATCAGACACCAAATTCCAGCTGACAGGCAGTGGGAATAGAGATCTATCCAAGGCACTTCTGCACATCTTCCCTTGCAGCTGCTGTCCATGTTTGAGTCAGTGAAATATATATTGCACAGGAGGTGTTTATTGGCTTTCACTGGAAATTACAGTCCCAAATTGCTCAGGGACAGCTGAACACCTCTCTTTGGTCTTTTCTGAGGCAAATAAACACTTGCCAAGACTGACTGGGGCAATGTTCAACCAGAATTCCTCCCCAGAGCAAGAAATCTTGCCCTAGAAGTCAGGAATCAGCCCAGCAAGGCACCCCAGCCAAGCCAGACTTTAGCTGGCAGACTCAGAGCTTGTGTATGATGGCAGCAGCTGTCACCCACCTGATTCTCCTGCCTTTACTGGCCTTTCTGTCCACTTTCTTCTTGATCTTGCTGCGTAACTTCTGGATGGCCAACCACTGCCTGAGGAAAGCAAAACAAGAGTCACACAGCTTTTACAGCCACTGAACACTCCCAGTAACACTGTCTGGTCCCTGATTGCATTAAAGGTTTCACTTCTCCAACAGAACTTCATCAAATCAAAGAAGTTTCCAGCAGGGAAAAACTTCTCCTAGTTATAAATAATTTTTTTTTAACAAAAACAAGAGTCATCTCACCTGATTTATACAATGAAAACTTGACATCAGGGAAAAAATCTAGCAAAATCCAATTACTGCAATCTTAATATAATCTTAATTACTGCAATCTATTTTATTGTAAAGTCAGATAAATGTACAATGTAATCACCACTTAACTGTAATTTTGTCTATATCATGCTAAATTATAGTGAATAGCTTTCCATAATATTCCAGACATACACAAAATACATTTGACACATTGCACTAAAATTTGGGGGATATTTTACACAGAGGAAAGTTGTTTCATCATCACAAAACTTCCTGATGTGTTTCTTTTTCCTCCTCCCCTCAGCATTGTGTCAGTGCTGAGCTCTACTCCAGCAATTCTAGGTTTCCTCTGCTTTTCCACTTGCCCAAATCAGAGCCTGTGGCTATTGATGTGTACATTGCTCACTAAGTGATATTTGGGAGACTCTTCATTTTCTAACTCTGGAATTAAACAGAGAATCATAGAACCAACCAGGTTGGAAAAGACCTCCAAGATCATCAAGTCCAACCCTACTGTGGTTACTAGACCATGGCACCAAGTGCCACATCCAGTCTCAGCTTGAAAACCTCCAGGGATGGTGAATCCACCACCTCCCTGGGCAGCACATTCCAATGTCTGACTACCTCTCTCTGTAAAAAATCTCTTCCTAAAAGATTTTTCTCTCCTAAGAGATCATTCTCTCTGTAAGAAAAGACCAAATTGGAGCAGTGTGCAGGCACTTTGCTAGTTCCCCCTCACTGGCTCAGTCCAGACACCACTCCCTGGATTCCCTTTGGAACCACCGAGAGACAGAAATACCTGGAACAAACCTTAACAACAGGGAAGTATCTCCAGGGGATCACACACAAACCAGGGCACAGCTGCAAAGTTAGACTGTGTGATCCATGACTAAGGAACGTGCTGCAGAGGATGAGTTTCCTGACTAATGTCACACTGTTGTGATAACTCCTTGTGCAATTTCTTACCCTCAGATAGATGCTTTTTCCAGAGCCATTCAAAATTTTGCCCTCTACAATGAACTGGACTGGAGGACCACAAGTGTTTTTGCACATCTGGCCTGGAATGCTGTGCTGGGATGCAGCCAGTGATGCTCCAACCTCCTGCTTACCTGCCCATTGCCACCTGGTCATTGGGGTCCAGTGAGGTGGTCTTCCGCTCTATCAGCTCTCGCAGGAGCTGGAAGAGAGACACAAATCCCATTTAAAGAAAGCACAGCAAGGACATGTTCATGCAAACAGGCTCACAGGTTTCTCAGAAGGTCTAAGAAGATATGCCAAGTTCCCAAGAAAACCTGAATGCATCATTTTTGAAACTCTCTAGAAAACCCCAAGCCAAAACTGAGGCTTTTTAGCATTTCCTCTGCACGGATTTTCCAAGAGAAAAAACCAATGGCTATGCTAAGAGTTTAAGTAACTGTACATCATCCCTCTCTTCCAAAGAGATCCCCTGTGACTGGGGCATAACACTGAAGGCCACTACTAAGAGTTTCTGTATGTCATTTCAGGTGGATCTAGGAGTAGTTTAGTCTTTCCTTCAACGCATCAGTTTTTAGGTGACATGTAGCATCACTTCATTCATCTGAAGAGAAACCCAAAGGCCACAGCTCAGCAGCACCATGGTCCAAGCACAAGAAGCCTCACATGGACAAAGCAAACTAATGATCCTAAGTCTAAGCAATGGCAAAGGAATCCCTGGGGACACTGCAAAGCTTCCTTCGGACTGTCAGATAGGCCAAGGTTGGGAAATTGCTGGTCCTAGGAGCTGAACAATCCCACAGTGGGCAAATAGGTGCCAAGGTTGGGGGGATGTGAGCAGCTGAGCCTCCCATTGTGTGACAGTGGCTGGTACTGTCCCTTGGGCTTTGGAAGCATAAAAAAGGGCTGGATGTTCCCAGGTTTTGTGTACACAGCTCCCAAGGGCAAGAGATGCAACCCAGGCAGACCTGCAGGAAGATCTCAGCCCCACAGGTCTCACCCCACACCTCCAGCGGTGGGAACAGAAACACTTCCTCAAGCAGAAGTCAAGCACTGCTGGGCAGTAACACTCACTCCAAGGAACAGCACAGCAAAATCACTTTTATAGCTCGAGCAGAAATGCTCAAACAGGCTTTTCTATTTCTTTTCATGTCCTGAGGCTTGGGGTTTGTCCTTTTTGCTTCCTGCAGCCAAAGAATATTGTGAACAGGCTTTTTGGATACTTGACTGGTGCTCTATATTTATCACCACTCACTGTAAATTGTACGTGCTGTGCCTTGGGTATCAGCCAACATGTTACCACGAAGGAGAGAAATAAACCCTCCAAAACTGAGGGGCACAGGCTGCTTTGTGGATGCTGACATTTCACTAAGTTAAGTTACTGCCTCAGCTCAGAAAGCACCTGAAACAGACCCACCTGGAAACCAGAGTCCAGGAAGTTCCACAGAGGGAAGAATGGATGTTTTTCCTCCACCCTATAGTTTCCTCCTTCAAAGCATACATCATATTACAGGAAAAAAACCAGATTCAAGTATAATTAAAAATCTGCCACTACTATTTTTTTCCTATTCGCTTATTTTTGGAGATTATTACTGCAGCAATTACATTTGAAAATTCCAGGAGAGAGGCCACTGGTTTATTATCACTAGCTTCAGCAAGCTACTTCTCTGCCCTGTTTATCTGATTGATTCCCAACATCTTTCTGGCACACAATCTATCAGTTTATCTCTCCCACTTCATCACAGTCACTTCTGGCAGCTAAATACAAGATCCAAATCCAGTGTTACACAGACATACGACACAGTAAACCTATGTAACACTGCCACTCTGTAAACAGCTGCCCTTAAGGCTAAGCAGAAATGGGATCTTGGTTTCTAGTCAATATTCTGTCAAAAGCAAGGTGGGAGGGAGGGTTGGAACAGCAGCAAGAAGTGTGGCAGAGAGGTTTTAGTGGTTTCTTCTTGTTCCAGCAATAAGGTGTGTTTACTGTCTCCTCTCATCTTGTTCCTTGGCATGAGGCACAGAGAAAAGTGCTGAGTAGCAATGGAAGAGGTAAAGGCACATGAAGACAGTGATGCACAGACATCCTATGCTCCAGAGAAATGAGCAGCAGGACATTTCCAACAGGACTTGCTCTTCCTGGTGGCCCAGAAATCCACAGACTTGGTAGACCAAGGACTGCCACCAAGATCTTACAAATGGTTAGAACAACAGCTCCACACTGACAGAGAGCAGGGTTAGATTGGATATAGGGAAGAAATTCTTCCCTGTGAGGTGCTGAGATTCAGGCACAGGTTGCCCAGAGAAGTTGTGGCTGCTCCACCCCTGGAAGTGTCCAAGATCAGGTTGGATGGGGCTTGGAGCAATGTGGTCTAGTGGAAGGTGTCCCTGCCCATGGCAGGGGGTGGAATGAGATGATCTTTAAAGCCCCTTCCCACCCAAGCCACTCCATGATTCCAAAATGCATTTATGGAGCAGGTTCCTAACACTGTACTGGTTTGTTGATCTTGTTCTTCCAGCACAGTGTCAACTGCAGGACTGGGGACACTGCTGGGGAGAGCAGCAGGAGACACAGATGAGAGAGAATTAAAAAAAAAAAAAAGGAGCAAGAGGGAAATTAGGAAATAGAAATAAAAGCCATGAAGCATCTTGTTACATCCCACCAGTGTACGTCTTCCAGCTGAAGTTATAAATCATGCTAACAATGGTTACTAAAATAAAAGTGGATGTAGCCAGAGGCTACCACTGAAAAAGTCAGCCCAAGCCTGTATGACTGCCTTTGGTCTTTAAGGATTTGATTAGTTTTTCCACTTTCTAGCTCAGAGTCTTGCATGCAGCCTGTGCTCCAGAGCCAGGCAGGGCTCGGGATACACAGCCAATGATAAACTCATTTCCTGAAGAAAGCAACACTGTTTTCCCAGCACAAGACTTAAAACACTTCCCAAGCTGTAATATTTCATTAGGCTTGGCCATTCTGGTTAAAATTTATTAGTCAAAACAGAAAACTCTCATCAGACCCCATATATTCCATTAGGAGTGATATATGGTGTCTCCCAACGTCTAATTATTAACTAGGAAGTGTGAGTAAATCACTATCAGAGCTAAGCCCTGATGTGTGAAAGCAGAGCCAGAGTTAGGCAATTTCACCATCAAAAGGCTTTGATTTGAAACAGATCCTTCTTTGCTTTCCCTCCTTCACCTCTTCACATCTTCCCTGGACTTCAAAACCCTCAGCTCAGTCTCCCACGGCAGCAAACACAACCGCGACGAAGCACAGCCAAGTTCAGCAGCTCAAGTCCTGACTCTGAGCTGCTCCTACCTACAGCTGGAACCAGGAGGACAAACTGTGGCAAGCAACAGGAAGCAGCAGGAGTTGCTAATGCCAGTTTTATTTCCTTTGGAAGGAAGCAGTGATGTTTGCCAGGAGTGCTCCTGTATGGATTTCCTTCCGAACTCAACGTCTGGCTAAGAAAACCACCACAAACACATTTCCTAGGCAAACCAGGGACTGCCAAGCACACGAGGAAAGAAGAGCATATGGAGGTGGTGTGGTTTGCCCAGGCCCATCAGCTGTGTTCCCAGGAGGTACATGGGGGCTGACTCTGCCTCCTGAGCACACAACAGCTTCACAATCCACAGCCACTCGCAAGGAGCAAGAACTTGTCCAAGGCAAGAGCTTCCAGAGCTGTTAGTATTCCCCTGCCTTAGCTGACACCAAGGCCACTGTAAAAATCCACCCTGGAGTCAATGAAGTGCTTTGTAAAGAACTCACCTGACAGGGGTTCCTCTCACACCAGGCAGAAATGCACACAAAGTGCTTTGCACCAAATTAGAGGGATTTAGAAACGCCATCAGGGTGTTGTTCAAGGGTAATAGAGATTCATTTCTCATTTTAGAGGTCAATTTTCATTGTAGAGGTTAGGCCTCATTTTCATGCACTATCTATCAGTGTTTCTAATACCACAGTCACTGACCTTTCTGATTTGCAGACCCCTAAGAATTTCCAGTTGAGACAAAGAGCTAAGGATAGCTGAAATCAGCCTCGTGACAAAAGGCTCAGTTGTCTGAGACCTTACAGAGCAAACCAAAGTTAAAAAAAAAAAAGCCAATCTATAGTATATCATGGAACCAGTTGAGTTTACAAAGCTTAGATATAAAATTGGAACAAAAGGAGCAATTTTTCTCTGCTGTTATTAAAACCTTCAGAAAAGCCAGGCAGGCCATGGGTCACTTCTACCACAGAGCATCAAAGCACCTGCTCTGCCTTGCAGGTGGCACTGCTGCCTTTGAATTCCCCCAGTCAGGTGTGCCAGGAGGTGAGCAGTTTAAAAGCAAGATTTTAACAAAATCACTGTAAGAAACACAAAAGAGAGAAGCTAAGGACAACCTGACAAGTCCATGTAAGAAGTGAAGCTACAGCCCCCAAGGCTTTTCCTCTCTTCCATGGAAATGAAAGTTGTCAAAGCTGCACTGCATCGACGTGATTTCAATACTTTGTGATTTAACTTTCTTTGGGTTTTGTCTTTGAAGAGACCTGGTGAGTCACACCAATTTTTCCTGCTTTGTCACACTTACACATCACACAACAGCATAAATTGTGATGAAGTTGCTCCTAGCCCAGGACTCAGCAAACACTTTACACTGAGTTCTGCCTGGAGGGACAAACAAGCTGTTCCTTTTCCCCTCTCAAGTTCCACACAGCAGAATGTAACACCACTTGGATTTCTAGCAACACCAGAGAAAATTTAACATTGCAGCTCAAATGCTATCTTTAAATCCTCCAAAAAACTTTAAAACACTGAAATCTTATTTATTCTGCAATCTCTTTATTCAAATCTAACCAGCAAGAGGGAATAACTGGACAGTCTCTTTTAAAAACATGTTCTATTCAAATTCAGGTTGGCCTATGACAGAGAGACTTGTGTATTTTCTAGTAACCCATTAAGGGACGTTCCAAATCAAGCTTTAAAACGTGTTATTAACCATCTTCTCAGCCATTTGAAAGATACATGCCTGTGATAAGGGTATTGTATTGCCATTAACCTGTGGGATGGCTTGAGACATCTCTAATTCACAAAAAAACTCTAAATGCATCTCATTAAAGCCACAAGATCAGCTGTCCATATTAATCACTCACTGGTTTAATTAAGGTAAACCAGCTTGTCACAAAACCAGGCTGCTCTCTATCCTTCACCAGCATCGACTTTGAATAGTTCACTGCATTAGGAATTACTTGTTTATGGCATTATCAAATTCCTGGGAGAGAAAACCACACTGTGAGTTCAGGAAACTGCTTTGGGCCAAATCCTGCTTGGGACACCAGGAGAAATGTACCCCATCAGGTGGAGCTTTCTGAAGAGTCACAGAGTGGGATGGAAAAGAGCCCCAGGGTATGATTTAAAGAGTCACAAAGTATGATTTAGGCACAAGTATGACTCAGAAGAAAACCAAACTGAGCTAGATGTATCTTCACAAGACTCAGACATTCAGGTTTGTTTTGTGTCACTCGGATGAGAGCTGAGGGAACCTCCTAGTGGAAGGTGTCCCTGATCATGGCAAGGGGTTGGAACTAGATGAGCTTTAAAGTCTCTTCCAACCCAAATCATTCTGTGTTTCTGACCATTAAGATATAAAAAGGGAATTAGTGGGATTTGTTGCTCTCTTGTACAAACCATCACTGTCCCACTGAGTGGGCAAGAGCCACATGCAGTGCCACTGCACAGGGACAACAATAAAGCAAACTAACAGTCCTACAAGTAACCAACCTTTTCTACAACTCCTTCCCTCAGTAATCAGGGTAGAGATAAGGAAGGGAATAAGCTTCTTCCTCACTATCCAAGCACATTCAGCCTGGGGGTAAATCCCAGGCAGTACCAGCTATTTCAGCCTCAGGCAGTGTGGAGGGATGACATTCCTCTGCAGTGCCTCTTTAGAGTCCTCACAGGTTGGCTGGATGTTCCCCATCCACCTTGGCCCCTCTCAGCTGCTGTGGTGCCCACAGACAGGACTGGTGACTGTGTGTGTGATAAAACACAGTGACATACAACACAGCCACAACCAGGGGAGGAGGGAGCAGGAGAGCAGAGAAAAAAGGGATTATGTATATTCCCAATTCTCCTTAGGCATACCTGCTGCCATCAATGATGAACATTTGTTCTGGGAAGAGCTGCTACCAGTGGAACACTTAGCATATGAACACTAACCTAATTCCTGTTGGAAATAAACCAATTTCCACTCTCTCCTTTACCAGAGGAGTATTTCAACCTAATAATAAAATCTCCACTGTAGCATGTCAGACCAGCAGCTCCCTGGAAGCAGGCTGGAATTTTAAGTCTTAATGCTGCAATATCAGCTGTAATGAATTCTACGTAAATATGACTTCTAAAAATAAAAAGCCTTTTTCTTCCCTTAAAACCATGTTTGAAGGAGAATTTAAAAGAGAAGGAATTGGGCTGGAGCCTCTCACTGCTGTCAGGAATGAGGATCCTGCTAAAACAGTTTAACTATTCCCACCCAGTGCAACCCAAAGAGAAACATTTCACTTGCATTATTCAGCTTTCCATCCCCATCAAACATGGGTATCACAACAAAAATTCTAACTGCTGATAACAAAATAAGTGAAGAACAGGAGGAAAAGTGGGATGAACAGGCAGAAGAGAGTTAAATCCTGCATCCTAGTGAAACTCCACCAGACCCACCTGCTGAATTCTACTGAATACCAAGACCTGGATAAGAAAATTGTTTTTCCATAAGAAGATGACTCATTAAAGAGTTTTGTATTATAATCTATAATACACAGTATAGCTACTTATCATGAGACCATTAACTTGTGCACATTCATCAGACCTCATCCATTTTTCCTTGCCTAATTTCCCACTGACACTCCAAGGAAGTTTGGTTTCCAATGCTGTTCTTTCACTGAATGTTTCCCTTTTAAGCAGTGATCAAAATACTAATTCTCAAATGCTACTTAGACCAGTGAAAGGGATTCCCCCAAAAAAAGGTCTGGATGTAAATGTAAGCAGCAGGTATTGACATGCACTCTGCAATCAGGATTACACACAGGGGGCAGAGGCTGTGAGCACCCTCAGTCCTGACAACCAGCCACGCTGCTGCTGCTCACTCCTGAAGAACCAGTTCCTTCTCTACATTTTATTTATACACACACACACACAAAAGCACTGCACAGTTCTGACCCACATGAAAGCAAACCCATTCAGGGCCTTGTCAGCTCTATTGTCCTGCACTCTCCCCTCTCTGAATGCAATGCTCAACTCCAGCTTACCGCCCTGCCAAATAAAGGAAAGCACTTTATGAATCCAATTTAATTGGGAGGTGACAGCAAACATACAGCCATTTTCTTCAGCCTTATCACTGCATTGGCTTCAGCTCCAATCCCTGCCAAATCCCACTCAACACAAGCCATTAAGCAGGTCAAGGGAACAGGTGCCGCGCGGCGCTGGGCTCGGATCCCCACAACCACCTGCACACAACCAGCAGCAATCTGCACAGATCAGCTCTCCCAAGGAGCATATTGGGCATGGGAGGAGAGGAGAAGGGTGGAAGAGAGGGAGGGAGGGATGTGGGGAAAAAAAAAGCCAGGCAAGAAAGGAAAATGAATGTGTGGCTGCCTGGCGGCTCAGCAGATGTCGGCGTGTGATGTACGAGGTTGGGATACGCTGTCTGCTGCCAAAGAGTGGGAAGTGATTAAAGCCTGCACCAGGCTAAGCACCATATTTAGAGGCTATGGGGTTTCCAAAGTTGCACCCAGCCCTGGCTGTGCTGCCAGATGCTGTTGGCTGCTCCTGCTCCTGCGCGGTTGGGCCGGGGAGGAATGCAATCTGGAACGCTCCCGGAGCTGCTGTACATTAAACCTGTGTCACCCATCCTTCACCTCTGCCCAGTGCTGAAACAACTCCAATTTGCTGCCACTTCCCTCTTGGGAAATGGCCAAGATACAGTTGTGCCTGGCAGAGCCATTTGTTTTACTCAGGTGATTCTCTTCCCTCAATGACCTCTATTAGTTTAAGTTTTAATTTAGATTAACCCCAGCACCCCAATTAACCAGGGAGGGGAAAAGCTAAGCTGGGACTAGTCATATTTCTGAAATCAGGATTTATCCAAGTTGAAGTTATTAGAGGGAAAGATGGGGCCATCCATCTACTGCTAGTTTTCTTTGAAATTTAACATTTCATGGCCAATAAGCACCTTCCCTGCACAGGTCCATGCACTGTCCATCTCAGCTAGTTGTCCTTGACTACTCCATGATTCTGTTACACTAACCTCATTTGTTCTGTGCTCCTAGGGTCTACTTGGCCCCCAAATTCCAGGTGGACCCTCAAATTCCACCTCAGTATTATCTCACAGGTTTGACCTGTTCAATCCCTGCTGCGTTTCAGAGCCTGCACAGATGAGCCTGATGTCCTCAGCTGCCCAAGAGATGATGCTCAATGCACAGCACACAAGCAAAGCTGCTCTTACAATAATACTCAGCCTGGAGAGAGGCTGCCTTGGAATGCAATCCTGGCTCTGAGGCAGGCTGCCACATGAGGAGATCCCTCACAAACAGAAAATATTCAAATTGTCCTCATTCCACACCAGGTGAAATCTACTGTTCTTGGGACATCTCCAGCAGCAGTGTTGGAAGTGTGTTGAAAACCTTCTTGGAGTGGAAAATAAGGCAGCATTAAAGTTCTCTGTGTTCCTTATTGGCAGAACACAGACAAGAATTTTCAATTTAATACATCTTTTATTCACTTTTAGTCCTGTTCTGTACGTGAAACACCAAATTTTGAAAGCATTCAAATGCTTCTGGTTCAATCAGCTACCAGAGCACAGTCACATGGCACTGCCCTAACAATTTACCAGCCACTCTGATAACTAGACAGACCAAAACCTTCTGCCTTTCTACGGATAGAATGGTATTTGTTTAGTCCTGAAGTTCAAGCTCTCTGTGGATGATCAAAGCAGACCAAGGTTTTTATGCACTGGGTGACTTACAGTGACATACACCTCAACCTGTGACAATTCCAGCTTTGCACAAAGTTGGCACTGCCTCTATTGAATAAAACACAAACACAAGGTTGCCCTGAGCTGCAGGCTCCATGCACTGGGTGCAGATTCCTTGTTTCTAAGAATTTTGCAGATAAAGAGAACACCTGGCCTGAATCCAAGCTGGAATGACTCCAAGAGAAGTGCCAGAGAAGCCCTGCAGCTTTCCCATTCAGCAGGTAGATGAGATGATTTAGGTTGAGATGAGAGTAACTTCAGTGCTATTGAGGATCTCCGAGAATGGTTTTTTATGACAGGACTCTGCCTCCAGAGAAGAGTCACCTTCAGAGAATTCTGGTTTTTTTTCCTCTTGTGTAGCAATGTTCACCAGAGAGAACAGGCACAGCTTTATCCTGACACACTCAGTGCCAGCAATGGCAGCAAGTGTTACATCCACAGTGCAAGTTTAAACTCACACAGCTCTGTAACAAAACTTGAGAGAAAAATCCCCTGAGGGATGTACAGAGATTTTGGATGTTAAAACAGGGAACTGAGTTTCACAGGTAAGAGAAATACAGAGCACAGACACAACTGCATTATCTCTGTAAGCATTCAAAACCAACTGAAGCCATAATTCCAACACACATTTACCATCACCTACCTGGTGATAGAAGTCATCATCATCAAATATCTCCTCATCTATGTCCTTCAGGTGCCTGTTGGAATCTGACTGAGGGAGAACTTCCTGGAAGCACAAAGGAAATACTGAAAGCTCATGTGTGCATATTTCTGTCCCCTACTTCAATGAAAGCATGTGCAGCAGCTTGTAAACACACTTGATGCTATGAAGGAATGGAGAAAAACTCCCAACATAACCAGATTTTAAGGACTAGGAATGCATTTAAAGGCAAGGCAGAAACTCCGCCAATGCCAAAATAGATTTATGATACCTTTAGTGGGAAACAAATAGGACTGTGCAAAGTCTTTCTGGCAAAATACTACAGATATTTTTAGTGTAATGGCAAAAATACATCTTACAATTGCAGTAATTCTACCTGATCTCACCGAGTTGAGTATTTATTCATTCTTAAATACTAAATTAATAACAGACTTACTGCTCACATTTTCTGCAGGTTATATGCAGTAGGATTTTGGAAGTGGGTTAAAGACTTTAAACTACAGAGTGAAAAACAAGTTTTGTAGCCACTACCTCAATAAGTAGATGGAGCACAGAAGGGACACAGTCCCAGCCCAAACCTTGTTCTCCCCTGTCAGGAACTGGCAGAGATGCTAATGCAAACACCATAAAACTGGAATTGAAATGCCTACATCTTCTTCTTACCCATTCCACTGCAGGAATCAACACTGAGCTATCCCCTTCATAAATCTCTCACAAACAAGACCATTACCTGCTAAAGGCTCAGGCTAATTGTTTCGCAGAGCTTTTCAGTGCTGCTACAGGATGAGTTAAGAGAAACAAAAGCCCTTACCGAGTTCTCAGGCACAGACTCAGGGGGAGGCTGAGGCTCCTGTTCCTGCTTGCCCAGCACTGTGTACACGGAGCGTTTGGTCTGGGTGCGCCGGAGCAATCGCTCTTTGTCCATCAGGATATGATCAATCTGAGTCAAGATTGAGCGCTCAAAGGCACCGAAACCCTGCAACAACATTAACCAGTGTCAGATAATGCAGAAAGCTTTTCCTCAAGGCAGCAGTGTTCCTCTATCTTTCCATGTCAGTGGATAAGCAGACAGCATTCCAAGAGGAGGGGGTTTGGGGTTTCGGTGCAGGGATTTCTGCTAGGGGTTTGTGTTTGTTTCTCCCTTCCCAACCTGAGGCAACTTGACGCCTGGCTTAATAAAATGCCTCTGCTGTTCTGGTTCAGATTAACTTCTCAATGATTAATACTAACTCGGAGATGTGAGGAGCCCCTGGATCTCTGGGTGAAATGATTACCCATTGTATTAAAGCCTACACTCCATGGAGGAGAGCCACACAAGCCCCTGGTTCTGTCAGAAACCACAAATAGCTTATGGATAGCAACAGTGGCATTTTCGTGGAGCTTACTTGCTGCTGGAGACTGGCTATGATGAGATGTCTGGTTGGGAGAAAACTAATACTATCCAAGTGTTTTTCCCAGTACTTTTGCCCCTAAAAATGTTTGTCCTGCCCATCTGTTCAAAATAAAAGAGCAGCTTATGCCTTTGAAATCTGAAGGTTGAAACTCCTTTAAGGTTGGGGAAAAGTGTATCCCTGAGTATTTAATTCCTGATGCTGTAGCTTTTTGCTCCACTGGGAACATCTGTGATATGAAACTTCCAAATCAACTTAGAACCACAGAATGGTTTGGGTTGGAAGGGATCTTAAAGCTCATCTCATCCCACCTCCTGCCATGGGCAGGGACACCTTCCACTAGACCAGTGGCTCCAAAGTCCCCAGCCTGGCCTGGAACACTCCCAGGGATGGAGCAGCCACAGCTTCTCTGGACAACCTGTGCCAGTGCCTCAGCACCTTCACAGGGAAGAATTACTTCCATATAACTAACCTAAATTTCCCCTCTTTCAGGTTGAACTTATTCCCCAAACCTCTGCTGAACAAAAGCATGTCAGCACACCCAAACCAAGCCTTGCCTTTCCCATTTTGCCAGTTGCCAGTTTGGTCTTCTCATGCCACTTCTGCAGGATGCTGTTCCTATAGGTCCTGCAATCCGCGTAGCGCTTGGCTATGAACTCAGGGTAGTCCTCAAACTTCAGCTTCCGTTTGGGGAGGATCCTCCTCTTCTCCTGTGCCTTATCCCCTTGCTCCTCATCGCTGCTGCTTGGGATTTCATCATCACTAGAACAAAACCACACAGGATAAACACCCTGTGCTTCTCTAAGGCAACGTGAGAGTTCTTAATGGCCCCAGCACTACCAGCCATGCTTGTTCCACACCAGGGTGGCACTGCTAGAAGATCCTCCTCCCTTATCAGAAAGATTACAAAACAGATTCCCCATAAGGCAGAAGGAATTCAAATGGCCATTTGTCCTGAGTATCTGTCACCCAGACACAGCAGCAAGTGAGGGAGCAGCAGAGTGAGGGTGGTCAGGAAGGCTGTGCATTGCCCTGTGTGCTGGAAACCAAAGGATTCAGACAGATTCAGAAAGATTCAGTAAGATCTTATCTTTTTTTGTATTTACCTCTCAGGTTTTGCTTGCTTTCCATCAACCAGGTGCCTCGTGCCTGGGTACTGATAAAGTATCTCATCCTGAAGTTCCACCAGTACGTTCAGCAAGGTTTCCAGGGCTTTACAACCTGCAGAGCAAGAGACATATGTGACAATTTCTTGCTTCTGGTGAACACTTGGCTTTGCAGTGCTTAGTTTCTCATCTTGAATCAGAACTTCTGCCACAGCTACTGCATGTCCCATTAACTGTTAGTCTCTAATCAGTTAAGAGATGTGGGTTTTATCTTCCAGCTGATTTACAGCTGTTAATGTCAAACACCACCACGCTGGGGAAGAACACTTCTTCCCTAAGAAGGGAGGAAAGGAGGCAGAACTGCCTTCTAAACATCTGCCTGGCTGCACATGGGGAGTGAACTGATCTAACGTTTCATCCACAAACATTCTGACTGCAGAGCCTGAAGGATTAATGTCCTAAAGAGGCAACACATGTGACAACAACCAATTTTGCTGACTCACTCATTTCTCCCCTGTGTTGAGCTCTGCAGCAGAGGCCTAACTCCACTTGAATAGGAAGCAACACAAGGGAAAATGTATATAGGTACAGGCCCTCTAAAGCTGATCTCTGACTTCCCTTCTTGGACATAATGTGTGTGTTGTAAGAAGGAAAAGCAAACCCCAAACTCCTGCAGGGCTGTGACTCCTGCTGGCTCCTGTGCTGCTGGGCTCACCACGCAGGAGGGATGAGCAATTGGACTGTAAGGAAAACGAAGTGCAGCAAGATCTGAGCTATGAGGGAAACTTAAACCATGACCTGGCAAGTTTAATGAGAAGATTCTGATCAGAAAAGCAGAACTGCAGGCCCAGAGATCCTTGGAAAGGGAAGAAAAGGTTGGCACGGAGAGGTGCACAAAATGATCAATCCATGGTGTGAAGGTGAGTTTTACAGGGAGGAGCATATGTGTACCAGAGCATTCAGACACAAATCCTGATGCTGTGCATCCAAAGGCTTTCATAGCTGACAGTTTTCCTGTATCCATGCAGATGCCAAGAAAACCATGTCTGTTCCAATGACTGTGTGTTCTCCAAGGACACACAGTTGCAGCTGACTGTGGGACAGGTTAACTGCACACTGTTGCAGCATCTGTTCCTCCAAAATAGCTCTGTTATGGCAACAACAAGCCTCCCTGCAGAACTCTCCCATAGAAAACAAGTGTTTGCCTAGGCCTACACAAACTCTCCCTCTGTACATCAATCACAGGGGCAGCTCTCCCAGGTAAAACACTTGGCACACTTCTACCCATTAACATAGACTGGCTGACAGAGCACATGGATCTGTGTGGGATCTTCCCCTGGTACCTCCTCTGCCATGAAGTCTGTGGAGTTGCTTTGCCCAACTCTCAAACCTCTTTTTCCTTTGTAGTTGGCATAAAAGAACAGGGAACTTTTCACCACTTGATTTTTTTCTTCTCTCTTTTTTTTTTTTTTAACAGGAGACACAGAGATCATGAGTAGAGTGAACAGCAAATCTTCCTCGGGCAGACAGAGACAGCACAAGCAGAAATCAGCCCAGACACTCAGAGGTCTCAATCTCCCGCGTGTTACCTCTGTGATATTGCTCAGTTGTCACCATCTTCAGATAAATTACGGCCTGACCTCAGTAACAGGAATGTCAAGGAGAAGATGCTTTAAGATTTCTGTTGCAGATCAGCTGTTGGACTCATCCTCCCCAGCCCAGGGTTCATTATAGATACGTCCTGACAACTCCTCTATATAAACCTATTAACGGATTAGGTTTGCTGCACTTGTAAATCAGACGTGTGTTAGCATCAAAACAATTCCACCAGACAAACAGACAAAAGCCCTTAAAAATGCATTTGTTGGATGTGTCTGCAGCTAAAGCAAAGCAAAAGCAAAGTGCCCCCACCCCAGCCTGAGTACACAGCTTACACCAGCAAAATCCTTCCCTCTGCCTGCAGCACAGCTAAATGTCCCCAGAGCTTCTGAAACTGTTTATTTTCTCCCTGCTGCCTCTCCTCCAGCAGCAGTGCTAATGCACCCCAGGCAGCTTTGATCCTGGCAATTACAACTGGAGTAGCACTCCAGCTCTTCTGGGGTATAGCAGGGCCACGGCAAGCAGGCAAGGAAATAAAGACAGGCTCAAGCTCCCCCAGGCTATGAGATATGGACCCCAGCAGAAGTGGGGATGGGGAGCAATTTTGTTTGGAGTGAAGGGGATGGAGAGGGCAGGGAAGACAATGACCGTGTGTCTAACCAGGTGGGAGGGCTAATTATTCCAGGCAGTGGCTTCATCACGAGCCTCTTACAGCTGGGCAATTTCCATGTTTTCAGTTCTTGTGTACTTAATAGCATTATTGGATGGCATTCTCATTGTTCCTGTTGGCTGCTTAAGTGTGCTGTAAACTCAACTTCAGGAGCCAAGTGTCATCCTCCCCTGCTCTCTTCCCATCCAGCCCTGCCCTATCTATTTCATGTTTAATTCCAGAAGGGACTGGTTTTTTCCCAGTGTCCTCTTCATCTTCTCTTCCCTCTAATGCCCTTGTGTGCCCTTACACTGCTGCTTTGGGGAAGAGCCTGAACCCATTTGTGAATGAAGGCAGCATAAACCAGAACTGCTCCATGGATGCCAACTGTGTCACACTGAAAGGCAGCAGGACCCTGACCCCCCAGCACATTTTCTGTAGTGCTGCTCCTTGTCTGAAACACACAATTAAACAGAAAACAGTCACAACCACGGAGCTTTCAAACACTCCAGTACATTAAGGCAACCAACTTGCAGCTTTCACTTGTGATAACCATCAGGTTTGTCCCTCCTGCTCCTTTCACAGCACAAAGCTAGTGATACCTCTCAGGGACAGGCAATGCCAGCCCTGACCATAGAGCAGGGATCTCCCACTGCCATGACCTGCAGGTCCTGGGCAGTCCCTGGACCATGAGCAGGTCCTGGGCAGCCTCTGATGGTTTTGTTTCTAAAACTTTCAGGGCCAAGAAGGGACTGACAAATCAGTCAAAGATCAAACGATGCTGTTAACTCTATGACTACCCTCCCACTCTCATTCAAAGCAGGATGCCAACAGCTAACCCCCAGCTGTCCCTTCCCAGGGCAGTGACTGCACACACAGGACTGCAAAAGCAGCTGGAAATTGTGGGATGTAAAACTCCAAGAACACAGCAAACATGGTTTGAGTAAAACTTCCAGCTCAAACGGGACTCAGAGTATCTGTGGTGAGACACCCACTTGTGTGAGTCACTTTTGAGAGACCACAGGAGCCCCTTCATTTTGTGTACAGGAGTGAAAAAGTTGTTCCAGATCCAGGAGGTAACATATCAATCCACCAGGAAAGCTGGGAGCCAGCACCAGTAAATCAAAGTGTGCCTTTCTGTTAATACTCCCTCATACGTTCTCATTTTATCCATCCCTTCACCCAGGCAGGAAGTAGCCCTGGAGTATTTAGCTCCATTCAGGGATAGCACTGCCATGTATCAAAGTGTCAGCAGACCCACCAGAGATGAAATCTGTCCTGCTGCTCTCAAACCACAGAAATCAATTTTGTCAATGCCAGTGCTTATGGACAAACTGGATGTGCTGCTGACACTCCCCTGGAGTGGGGTGGCTCCTGCTGCAGAGGACTGACCCCCCCCAGGGATCACCCTCCAGCCCTCTCCACACACAGAGCTGATACTGAAGCTCATGGGAGGACCCACAGGCAGGATGGCTTCTGTGCCCATCCACTGCTCCAAGCCCAGCATTCCCACACAGCAAAAGATCTGCACTCTTTGCCATGACCTCTAAAAATGGGGGTTCATCTTCCCAAGCAGCTGTGGAGAGCAGCAGCTGGTGTGGAGCAGCAGGGAGCGGCTGCATGTACAGACACTTGGAGCTGATAGAAAAAAAGCTGGAACCTCAGAGCCAGGCTTTCCAAGGAATTCACAAAGCCAAGCCCTGGCATTCCCAAAACTGCTCCTCCAGCCACTTCTTCCCAGCGTGACCCTGGTGCATCCATCCAGCAGATTCTATGTACAACAGATTCACAGAGCCCTTGGCATTCCCAAAATTGGGTACACTCTTCCCTGTATGACCCTGGTGCATCCATCCAGCAGATTTGGAGTATAATGGATTCACAGATCTAACTCTTGGAATTCCCAAAACTGCTGCACCAGGCACACTCTTCCCTGTCTGCCCCTGGCACATCCACCTAGCACATTCAGAGTGTGACAGGTCAGGGAGGAAAACTTGAACTTGCAGCAAACTCCCAGGATTTTCACTCCATGGAGCACCTTGCAGGGTGTGTGTTCCCCACAACTGTGCACACACCATATCCAAACACACACACAACAACCTTCCTGGGATGTGCCACCAGGAACCATCACCCGCACAGCCCTCGGCTCCACTTCAGAGCCCACACCAAGGCTGGAAATGAACTATTTTTTCTCCCCCAATTAAATCAAGAGGATGTGGCAGCACAGGAATATCACTGGTATGCAAGCTTTTCATCTTCCCTGTACCTCCACAGGCTGTGGGAGTGTTCACACGGAAATGCTGGTGCTGCAATCATAGAATTCAGGGGTTGGAATGGATCTTACAGATCATGCAGCCCCAACCCCCTGCCCTGGGCAGGGACAGCTCCTCACCAGATCAGGTTGTACAAGGCTCATCCAGCCTGGACTGAACACCATCAAAGTCAGAGCAGCCACCACATCCCTGGGCAACCTGTGCCAGTGTCTCACCACTCTTAGAGTAAAAAACTCTTTTCTCACACCTAACCTAGACTTTCCCTTCCTCAGTTTGAACCCAATGGAATGATGGGATTGTCCCAGTCTGCAAAAGCAGATGTAGAACAGAAGTTGAGCTGCCAAATACTGGGAACATCCCCTCTTGGAGAATCCCTGTGTCCCCACAGAGTGTCCCCATGTTACAGCCACACGGAGCAGGCACAGGCACACGGGTCACATTATGCAAATCCAAAGCAGGAGAGGAATCCAACCCCTTTTATTTTAATAGCTGCACATCATGCAAAGTACCTCGATCAGGTAGAGGTGTTTATCCCAGCGTTCAGCTGAAGAGGGGGAATTTTCCCCCTCCTTTCAAAGGGCTGTGGGACAGGAGTTA